GTGATAGGTACATAGTCACCACCGGATGGTGCACCGGGCCAGCAACAATGGACGCATCATCCCTGCCGGATGGTACACCGGACCGGCGTTGATGGACACATCATCACCGCCGGATGGTACGCCGTACCGGAGTCGATGGTTACATCATCTCTGTCGTATCATACGCCAGGCCGGCGTCGAAGGTTACATCATGACCGCCGGACGGTACGCCGGGCCGGCATCGATGGATGTATCATCACTGTCGGACGGTACTCCGGGCCGGCGCCGATGGACGCATCATCACCGCGGGATGGTACGCCGGACCGGCATCGATGGACGCATCATTGCTACCGGATGGTACGCCGGGCCGGCGGTGGTAAGACAACGTCACCGCCGTATGGTACGCCGGACCGACGGTGGTAAAATACAGTCACCGCCGGCGCGCAACCGGCGGAGATAAAGGTCGCCGATCACCACCGACATACACCAATAGGGGCTAAACCGTCGGTAGTGGGGGTTCTGGAGCCGACGGTGTTTAGCTTTCTATAGTAGTGTTGATGTTATATATATATATATATATATATATATATATATATATATATATATATATATATATATATATATATATATATATATATATATATATATATATATAATTGAACTATAATATGAATGAATGAATTATTTGAGAAACTAGTTTGTGGATTTTAATTTCCCTGTGGTAAATAATTTTTCTGACTATAATCGACAGAAATTTATTCGTTGACGGTAAATCTTATTTTTCTGTCGTCTGAACTCGATAGGGATAGAATTCTAGACCTCGCGGCTGGTAATTTGCTTGTTGACATCGACCAGACAAGGAAATTGGGGTACTAACAAGGAAATTGTTTCACCGATATACAACTTTTCTATCCTTATCACTTTTGTCCAATCGGTAGTTTTTTGTCGGTGAAACGACCTGGAAATTAATTTTCTAATTTCCTTGTCAATTTCACACTAACACTTAGGGAGTAGTGTAAGGGAATCTAGTCACATTTTGTTACTCATCTATTACATGTGGAACCTAAAAGAAACTTGCCAAATTTAGTTGCCAACCAAACATTTGCTAACTTGATAAAAATTTCCTAAGATGAATTGTGTCAAAGTGTGGCTAGGAACTAAATATACCCCCAAAATGATACAATATGTTCTAGGTAAAGTATAAATTTGAATGGGTTGTCACTGTTTAGTTCCTTTTCTGATTCAAATGGCACTATCTTCATGCTGGATATTTCATCATTGAACTTACACGCATACTTTATTTGATAATTACATACATCAATATTTTAGCAATAGATTTTGGTAACATGGAAACTCGATAGTGATTGGCATGTTGCTGTGAATCACTGTGAAATGATGCAATCGATGGCAAATAGAAGTCAATGGATGACAATGCCGTACGTATATCAGGAGTGATCATGCAAGCCCGTGTTTTAGATATATGATCAGCTCGACATTTTCATATAGGATACGGTTAATCGTAATATGGGCAACTTACTAAAATTCAGACCGTCGCATGTGTGCGTGATACATCCGTTTCGACTGAAATACGCTACAAAAAAAAAGTAATAAAAAAACACAACCACATACATTATACGTCTAGCCATGTTAATTCCTAATTCTTGGCCCTTCAAACTCGGTACCAGTCGTTAGAATATATGGGCTTGGCCCAAATAAGAAATTTTGAAATTCCTAGAGAAATATCAAAGAGTAGAAGTGAGAATTCTTTAGTCTTGTCAAAGTGGAGGTAGCTATACTTAAATATATATGGAAGTCCTCTCCACTCCTATGAGTTCAGCATGAGGAGGAGAAAGGAAGCCCACATACATGCGCTTGCTTCGCCGGGTGGGGAAGGGTGAAGGGCGTGGGCACGAGGCACTTGCATACGAAATCAGGCTCCGCACCGAAATCCGGCTCCCCCTTGTGGGGGCGTAAACGTGCCCATGAATTGCAACAGGAGAAAAAGTGCTACATACCAAGGGCTACTATGTGTGAGGATTTTTTACTACATATTTATATGTTTTTCCCTTTTTATAAAATTTGAGAGCTATAATTTATTCTATGACGACATCCAAAATATAAGCAAATGTTGGCAATAATATGACAATATATAATTAAGCTTGTTTCAAATTAAAATAAGGTCCTAATAAACTTTTTTCTCGCATTGCTAAGCACAAAAATATTTGCTCATAGATATAATTAATTTTATTTTTTATAATTCATTAGTGCAGTTAAATATCAAATTTTACGAAATATTTTGAAGACACGTAACAATCTGTAACTCAAATTAGCAAGGAATTAATTATTGATACCAAGGGCTACTATGTGTGAGAGTTATGACAGAAGGCCGATCTCGATTTTCCATGTTTTATTGTGGGCAATGGCACTGGTGCATACTTCAGGATTTTATTTTGAACTATCGACTAAATCAGGTTATAATAATAATATGAGTCTTGCTTTTAATACATTAATAACATGTTGGTAGAAATATTTATTTTCTCATCAGTCAGTTATGGAGTTCAAAGCCGATAATTTTGTTTTTTTTATTTTTTTATTTTATTATATTTATCCACCTGATTCTATGTATTTAGTTGAACGTGTGAACGTGATGAATAAAGAAATATAATTGCTGGAACTGGAAAAAAGAATCAGAAAAAACCATGGTCGACGAGGACTTGAGCTCTTGTGTCCATCCTCTGGTTGGTCTCTACGGCAAAAAAAAAAAGAAAAAATCCCAACATTCTTGAAAAAACTGAAAAAATAAAAAACCAAAACTAAGAAACTTGCCGTGGTTAGTATTATTAGGAATAGATTTGTATTTTTTTCCTATTTGGAACTGGATTAGGAACGCGGGATCAATTTGGATTATGATTCCTAACTATCTATATAAAATAGGAGAGATGTAGAGAGACGATCAAAGACAATTTTCACATTCACGTGTGAGTTAGAAGGAGACGGACCAAGACAATGGATGGAGAGAAATTTTGCCTCTTTAATATTAGATATAGATTACTGGGCCTTCAAGTTTGTAGATAAGATTCCTAAACGGTTTAGATCGTGATCATATACCACAGAGATTGGGTCGGACAGTCCTATATATACCGCCTATCGGCCAATGCCAAAACGTATCTAATCAAGCTAGGGTTCTTGTCTCTTCTCACTATTATGCCGCCGTCGTAGCTTCTCCATCCCGAGCGTCTACGTGCACCGGTGTTCGACAGAGCAGGTCTCCAGAACCCTCGTCTTTGCGATCCTGCACTCGGAGAGGATGAATAAGGTTTTTGGGAAGCGCTTTCGCGCGACTGCTCCCAACCTGCACAACGGCTCATTTTCCAAAGTAGGCTACGTTGGGACGTCGTCTACGCCTCCAGCAGATTCACCACATCATCAACGGCAACGTTACTCCACCTCTCATCAATGACTTTGTGCTACCACCAGCAACAACGTCTCCACCACCAGTAATGCTGTCTCCCCCGCAAACTAAAGGTACACACCCCGTGATCCAATCTGTTATTACAGTATGCCTACTGTCTTGATCATGATATGCCATTCGTTATGCCTGCTGTCCTAATCTTGTTGCCGTTCATTATGTCGTTGTTCATGCTATTTGATCTAACTAGTATGTTAGGACTGTTCACGATAGTATATGAGATCGTCATGATTTATATTCTGGTTTTAATATGAAAAATGCTTACTTTTTCAACACCACTTAGCAGATATCAGTCATGTATGTCATTCTCATGTAGGGCGCACACCAAACTATACTCTCGGTACAGACCGGAGCTATAGCTTTCGTACCGTAAGAGTCGTCTAACGCTACACACATCAACAAATTATATATATCAAATATTACTCAGCATAACGACACATAAATTGGCGAGCTCTCGCTGGCTTTGGAGGCAGCAGGAGCACCCCATTATTGATATTGATTAATCAGCGGTTAGCTACGCGCTAACCCAGGGGCCGGCCGGCCGGATTAACAAACTAACTTGGTCGGCATAATTTTAAGTGGCCTTATCTTTCAAAGTCGGACCAATGGGACAGCGATACGAGGACCAGTGGGAAGCGAGTCTTTTGGGCGAGGGCGTGGGCGTGGGTGGCCACACCGAGGGCTGGCTAGCTGCAAGGTCTGGTCTTGAAGGGATATGATATACTGCAGCAGCACCGTGCCCTTCTGAGCATGCATGATTAATTAGTTAGCGGTCGCGCGACTCCCCAGAACCAGCCTGTCTGAGAGCTAGCTAATCAAGGTCCGCGCTCCGCTGCTGCCGCCTGTTGGCGTGGATCTACCGGGAAAAGGGGGAGAGAAAAAGAAAGTAGCCTAGCTAGTTTAGTTAGATGCCCTAGAATGAGGAATCAGCTGAGAATTTGGTGGTTGACATGAGAAGTGCCTAGCTTGCCTCCTCCCTCCTTGCTTTGTCTGGTACAGGGTAGTAGCGGTGGTGGTGGTGGCGGCGCCCCTCTCCTCCTCCCCCTCCCTCCCACCTATCATTCTTCTAATCTAGCAGCGGCAAAGCGTGGGGAGGTGAGAGCGAGACAGAAAAAGAAGGGGCAGGACGCTGTCCTCCTTTCCATCTGATCCATGGTCTCTTTTCCCCCCAGCCCTCCTCTCAGTCTCACACACCACAGCACAGGCACAGCCGCACAGCCCAGCCATGACCTCATCAGCTCCGTCCTCCTCTCCTAGTAGTCCTAGCTTTCGTATACATGCCTTGATAATTCGCTAATTCTTCGATCTGCTCCTCCCAGGCCTCCTTAGCTTGTTTACTGCTCCCTTTGCTTTCGTTGCTACTGTTCCATCTCGTAGGTTTCGTTGTCGTCCCTGGCCGCCACTTGAGTGATTTGTTAGCAGATAAGATTGAGGCCTCAGAAATAAAAAAGAACCCGCCGCGAGAAAAAAGAAAGAGGGTGAGAGGAGAGCTAGCACTAGCAGCAGCAAGGAGGGAAAGAATAACCTAGCAAGCCTGTGCTGTGAGGTGAGGATGGATCCGATCTCAGCATCCATACACGGTCACCATCTTCCTCCACCATTCAACACCCGCGACTTCCATCACCATCTCCAGCAGCAGCAGCATCACCACCAGCTGCAGCTCAAGACCGAGGACGACCACGGCAGCGGCGTGCCGGGGGTGTTCGGCTCCCGCGGCACCATCAAGGGCGACCACCACGAGACTAATGACGAGAACAGTGGAAACAGCAACGGGAGCGCCGGCGGCGGCGGCGGAGGCCACGAGCTGGCGCTGGTTCCCCCATATGGTGGTGGCGGGCCAGAGGGCGGAGGAGAGGGCACCCCGCGCCGCCCGAGGGGCCGGCCGGCGGGGTCCAAGAACAAGCCGAAGCCGCCCATCATCATCACCAGGGACAGCGCCAACACGCTGCGGACGCACGTCATGGAGGTGGCCGGGGGGTGCGACATCTCCGAGAGCATCACGGCGTTCGCGCGCCGCAGGCAGCGCGGGGTCTGCGTCCTCAGCGGCACCGGCACCGTCACCAACGTCACCCTGCGGCAGCCGGCCTCCCAGGGCGCGGTCGTCGCCCTCCACGGCCGGTTCGAGATCCTCTCCCTCTCTGGCTCGTTCCTCCCGCCGCCCGCACCGCCCGAAGCCACGGGGCTCACCGTCTACCTTGCCGGCGGCCAGGGCCAGGTGGTGGGCGGCACCGTCGTCGGCGCGCTCACAGCAGCCGGGCCCGTTGTGATAATGGCAGCATCTTTCGCCAACGCGGTGTACGAGCGATTGCCGCTGGAGGAGGATGACATGCTCGCGGCACAGGCACAGGCCGACAGCGCAGGAATTCTCGCGGGTGCGCAGCAAGCGGCGCAGCTCGCCGCCGCCGGCGCTGTGGATCCAAGCCTCTTCCAGGGACTGCCACCGAACCTGCTCGGCAACGTGCAGCTGCCGCCAGAAGCAGCCTACGGATGGAACCCGGGCGCCGCCGGTGGCCGTCCGGCGCCGTTCTAATAATTGATCAGCCCGCACGCAGCTTAGATGGTTAAGTGATTTAGCTTTCTTCTTCCATCTTTTACTTGAATTTGTATCGTGGAGAATTTCCGTCGGAATTGCATATGATTTCCCATGTTAATTAGTAAGTTATCTTAATATTGTTTCAGAATATGTAGCTCGATTTCTGCCATTTCCTTACGCTATTTCTTGTGTCGTCATGCATAACTCTTGTTGCTGTTGTTGACTTGAAGCCGGGTTTTGTACCTTATCAAAATCATCTCTTTTTTCCCCCTGTATTCAGTACATCAATTAGTCCTTTTTTCCGTATAGGACATACTAACTAGGAAGAAGGGCAAGAGACGAAACTGGCCTGGGAACGAATTGAGGAATGATAAAATGGTATGGGATAGGCTTGGGGAACATGTGGAAAGATGTGTGTACTTTTACCCTGGCCTGTGCAAACTTCTCTGACTCCCAAGCCTTGGAAGTGAAGGTTTGATCGGTACGAAGTGCCTGTCCTGACACCACCCTCACAGGCACCACCACCATCATCATTGCATGCTACAAATTCTGCCATCTCTTCCCACACTCCCATGGACACTGACTCTCGGAATAACTGAAAGTCTCTACCCACTGACCAGTTACTACCGTCGTGTCCTGCTGCAGGACAATTAGCAGTGGCAGTAACTTCGATTGCACGTACACTACTACCTTACAAATTTTTTTTATTATGTTCCGCCACCACATACATCACCCGGCTCTAGGGCCTGATACAGGCCGCCTCCATTGCCGTCCATGACCATGATCGTTCATACATAACCTGAGTTTTTTTATCTACTTCAGATCCGGCACGAGCGCGCCCTCGTCTCCACCACCTCCCAAACTCCCGTTGCTCACTGCTTATGCCCTCCACCGTCACCATGCTAATCCTGACCTTCTCGGCCTCCTTCTCTGGCCGGCCGATGCCCCTGTCACTCACCACCCACCCGGCGGGCGGCGCCCCCGCTGCCCTACCCTCTATTATTGTCTTGACCACCAACACCGTTGATCTGGCGGTCTCCGTGGAAACCCCCTTCTAATTAAGCCGGTAGCTATGAAAACTCCTTAACTCGTAAAGCCCCGAACCCTAACGCCAGAGTGTCCGGTCTTGGTCTCTAGCAACGGCATGTCCATTTCATTTTGTCCTTTTTTGTCTGCATGCATGCCGCTCGGGTGAATCCTGGTGCACAGGATGATTAAGCATGCATTTATCTTTTATATATACCAAAGTTAGCTTGATCTGTTTGGTTTTGTTGCTTGATTGTTGCAGTGATCATACTGCACTTCTACTAAAATATTATTCGCTACTAAAATATTATTCGCCACCGAGTAAAATGGTTACGGAAATCAGGGGCATGCCTAATAGGTAGCCCCATGCATGCGCGAGAGATCAGACTCGGGAAAATATTGCCTCGTCCCAAAAAGAATCGAAATATATGTTGCTTCTTCAGGATTAAAAAAATCAAGTTTGATTAGATTTATAGAAAATAATATCAGCATTTATATATTTGAATAGGCTTATTATAAAAATATATTTCATGATTAATCTAGTGATATTTATTATAAATTATAAATATTAGTACTTTTTTATATATTTTTGTCAACCTTGAAATTGTTTGAGAAGCAAGATTTCATTTTTTATTCTATACGGAGTGAGTATTTTATGCAGTGCTCTTGCTCCCGTGGTCTCCCGGTTGGGGATCTATGAACGTGACAACTGCACCACGTTGCAGGTAGAGGGTCAGTGGAAGTCGTACATTTTCGAGGCATACTGCCAGTTTTCAATGCCTGCAGCACCAAACAAGGGAGCACACGAGGTGTTAGATCTGGACTCTATTTGATGCCATGCTATATCTCATGTTTAAATTTTTGTCCACTGCTCTGGTCAATTTGGACGGTATCTGTGTGATCTAGCACGAAGATATGGCTGGTCTTCAGTTTTAAATATTTAGTTTTCTCTCCTTATAATTCGCTAGTAGATTTAAACTACTTGACCAATCATTCAAACTTGCATGACTACGTGTCTAGATGATATTAAGGGCAGTTCCAACCTCGAAGTTATGTGGTAGTTTCTATATTTGTGAAATCATATAGACACAAAGACATAGAAACTATATTTTTATTGGATAGTTTAGTTTTTTGTCCAAGCACATGTCTTCTCTCTCCATCAGCTACCTATCACATATCTTCATATCTTAGTTCACGCATTGATATTGTTTCTTATGGCACTCACAATGTTAGAAACTACAGATAGTTTATACTACCTCCGTTCCAAATTATAAGCTGTTTTGACTTTTTTGGTACATCCATTTTGCTATGCATCTAGATATAATATATGTCTAGATATATAGCAAAATGGGTGTACCAAAAAATTCAAAGCAACTTATAATTTGGAATGGAGGGAGTATATGTTTATTAATTTAGGTCTTAATTTCCCTCATCTATCTATCACATCTCTTTATGTCTTGGTTTCCCTGTAGACATGGTTTCTTATTAAGAAACAATTTCCTCATCTCTCCTTACTAAATCGCATGCTACATTGGCAAAATGCTTACGTGGTAGGGAAATTAATGCACATAGAAACTATGATAGTTTCTGCACTGTGAGTGCCCTTATCTAAGAAATTATTACTTCCTCTTTCTCTCTTCTTATTGCAGTGTCACATCATCTTTTTGTTTAGTTGTCATCCTAATTAATAAACATAGAAACCATCTTGTTTTTTTGGTTGGGAGTGCCCTAAGAATAGGTGGTTTCCATGGCATTAATTAAGGTGCCTAGTAAAATGCTTGATGTAGCATTGAAATTAAGGTGAGATAAGAAAATGGTTTCTTATTCAAGAAACCATATCTAAATGGGAACACAGATCAGAAGAGTTGTGATAGGTAGATAATAAGAGAAAGAAGATAGATGACTGAATGAAAATTTTATTTGTAGGAATTATCCATTGGGAGTATAGTTTCCATGTGTAGTATCTACATTAGTTCATGATTGGGACTACCCTAACAATGCTAATTAGTTCTTCCTTCCTATTAGCTTGTGTGCTACTATTATTCATAATATGGGCAACTACGATATTCGACCAAGACTATCTTGTTAAAAATTATCCCTCACATCGACATGTTGGCCGTTAATCTCCACAAATAGAAATGGTGATTAGATTTATCAATACAAATAGACAACATCAAAGATGACACAAAAGGCACAATATTTGTTTAATTTGTAAGGTTGAACTGAAGAGTATGAGCCTAGTACTTCAACTACGAGCCACTACTACAAATTGGATTTCAAGAGACTATTGCCTAGATTAACATAGGTGGGCATAAACGAACACTGCGTCTAGAAATTGAGAAGGGTGCCTATAGAATAGTTTTTACTTCAAATTATTGGATACTATATTATCCAAGCACCTCAGTCCACCCCTTGGTAATGGAAACTTCTGATCACACACCAGGTGTAATTTCCATTGGAACTAGCTAGCTAGTATCCCAAAAGGAAAGGTATTTTGTTTTGAGGGAGCATGAGAACTTCTTACTAGTTAGTTCAACATGGATGGTTAGTCCCTACCTTTCAGCATGACAAAGCCAAGCACCTACTGCTAGGTTCAAAAATCTAAGAATACTCAAATCTTGGTAAGCCCATCTTTCAAGTCTACCTTCAAATTTCAAATGTCAAATTGACCGTGTCTTTTCTAGAAATACTTGAACAATTCAGAGATCTGTCTTTACCAAAATGGAATCTCAAGGAAATACTAAATGACAAGCTCCATGCCCTACTAAAACAACACAAAACTTATTGGAAACAGATAGGGACAACTAAATGGGTCAAACTGGGATACGAGGGAACCAAATTTTTTCATGCAAATGCAACAATTGAGCATAGGAAAAACTTAATCTCCTCTCTGAAGAATGAAGATGGCAACCCTATTTTTGCTCACCATGAGAAAGAAGATTTCCTCTAGACACATTTAAAGAAATATTGGGCACCACAGAGGTGCATCAAATGCACTTTAACCTTACAGACCTGATTCTTCCTTTAGATGACTTGTCTTGCCTCGAAGAACCCTTCAGCACAGAGGAAATAAAGGGTGTCATACAAAATTTACCCTCAGAAAAATCCCCAGGGCCTGATGGGTTTAATAATGAGTTCATCAAAAAATGCTTAACAATAATTTCTAATGATTTTTATAATTTAATCTCAGTTTTTCATCAAGGTGCTCTCTGCCTTCAGAGTCTAAATGGGTCTCTCATAACACTAGTACCAAAAAGGATGTAGCTGAAAATGTTAAGACCAATTTCTCTTCTAAACTCCTAAATGAAAATAATTACCAACTTATTGGCAAACAAACTACAAAAAGGTTATCTTGGCTATGGTGCACAAAAATCAATATGGCTTTCTCAAGACAAGGACAATCCAAGATTTTCTTGCTTGGTCCTTTAAAGATTTACACATGAGTCATGAATCAAAAAAAAATGAATTGTTAATCCTAAAATAAACCATGATGTTATGTTACAAAACATGAGAGCAAAAGGGTTTGGGGAAACATTGCTTTCATGGATGAGAAAAATCTTTGAGTCAGGAACATCAACAATGCTACTAAATGGAGTGTGAGGGAAAAAAATTCACTATAGAAATAGGGGTGAGATAGGGGGTCCCACTCTCACCTTTACTTTTTGTACTAGCAGCTGATCTCCTTAAGTTAATTCTCAATAGGGCAAAAAATCCGAACCTTTTGAAGCTACCAATCCCCATATTGCATACTCAAGACTTTTCAATCATCCAATATGTTGATGGCACACTAATTATTTTGGAACATTATGGCAGACAATTATTTATCATGAAGGCACTCTTAAATACCTTCTCTGATTCTATGTGTCTTCAGTGAAATTTTCTAAATCTATGATGGTGCCCATAAACATGCAGCCAGATAAAATTGATCATTTGGCCCAAACTTTTGGTTGTTCAAAGGGAACTCTTCCATT